TCTCTGTGACTGTAGGGCCATCAACAAGCACCAAGCAAACTTCTTGAAGCAAATACTGCCCATTCTAATAACAAATAATAGTGCTTTGCGTATTTTCTCCAGAAGCCTACCGGTAGGTAAAATCAAACCATCTTGCTATAAACAGCCTTTCCCACTTCAGCTTGTTGTAATACATTATTTCTTTATTTGATTTACAGTCTGCCTTTCATACAGGAGCTCAAGGCAGTGTGCGCTATGTTTCCTCCTCCTGTTTTTTTCCATAAGAACTCTATGATACAGGTTATGCTGAGGCAGAATGACTTTCCATGGTCCAGGGTAGGTTTAAAACCTGGATCTTCCCACTTCTAGAGTACCTTGGCTCTGGTATAGTGCTATATCCATATTTCCATGTAGTCCTTGTTTACCTATCACGAGTTGAGCAACCGTTCAAAGTTACAATGGCATTGAATAAGGACGCTTAAGACCATTGCTTGTAGATGCGGCCATTGCAATGTCCCCATGGTGGTGATCATCAATTCTGGTGCTTGATAACTGGCTTGCAATTACGATGCTTGTAGATCCTGCAATCATGCAGTTACCATATGTAACCTTCCTTGCTGGCTTCTGACAAGGAAAGGCAGTGGGAAGGCTGGCAGGAGGTCACAAATGGTGATCATGGCAATTTGCTTAAGGGCGGCAACCAGAACGGCTGCAAGAGCTGTCGCTGTGTAAGTCAGTGTAGTCATATGAGATCGTGCTTTATGATCACATTGCTTAGTGTCGGGAGTTGCCAGTTGCAGTTCCCCTCGTGAGCAACTGCAGTTGGGACCAGCAACTTGTTCACTAAGCAAAGCAGCCATTAAGTGAAACTGAGACTTTGCTTGCAATCTTATTTCAGCTTTCCTTTGCTCCACGGAGCTACAAACAAATGCGAGGACTGGTCACAGAGTTACTTTTTCATTACCATCGTAACTGTGAACAGTCTCTAAGTGAAGCAGTTAGCAAACGAGGACTACCTGTACATCAATTCCCAGCCTTCAGCCATACTAATTGGGATTTTGGGAGTTGCAATCCAGCATTGTGAGGAAGGCAGCCATTTCCTCATTCTGATGTTCTGCTGGTGATACTTGTCTTCTCTCTAGTCCACTGGTTAAATATTTTAGGAATGGTGTAATTCGCCATTATCCAGTAGTCTCCTGACATGTCTTTTTTGGTCCCCTCCATATTATCATGTGAGTTTTTTTACTTCAGTTACTACAACTCTCATTCATTTGTCTGAATGGAACACTGCTTTTTAAAATAGTTGTACATTGATAAGCTTTGTACAGAGATGCATCCTGTCTCAGGATGCACCATAACTAAGTAGTTCTTCACAGAAATGTGTACTTTCTGCCTAGGTTCCATTATTTTCTTGAGACTGGAGATTATTTTGCATTCTATCTTTCCCAGTTCTTCTATACACAAAGATCTTTTAATTCCCTTGATGCCCAGAGAGCATTAGCTTTATACGTACATGGTATCTGTTTATTTTATATACTGCCATAATTGGCAAATATTCCCAGTAATTAAAATTATAAAAAAATACATATCAATGTAATGTTATTTCCTAAAAGCATCTCACTAAGAGCAAGTACCACAAAAGGGAAATCACAAGCTGCACCTGTTCTCCAAAAGCTCTTCAGAAGAATAAATGCTTTAACCATTGTCTAGAATGCCATCAGAATGTCTACTAGCCTAATCTAAGTGAGGAGACTATTCTGTAGCATTGAGGCCATTACAGAAAAGGACTGTTTTCAGCCCAGTCTCTCCCACCTTTCAGAAATGGGGAACTACTAATAAAGTATACTAGGAAGAATATGCCACTCCTTTTGGAAGGAGTGGTCCTTGTGATATCTGGCTGCCAAGCCATATGAGGCTTTATAGGTGAAAACCAGGACTTTGACATGTAAGCTAAAACTTTATAAGCTAAGACTTTCAAAGACTTTGACTTTGAAAATTAATCCATGACCTTTAGCGCAAGTGTTTTGTGGCTATAGTCGTACTTATTTGTCAATAAAAGGGGTCCTGCGTTTTGTATCAAATGCCATTTCTGAATTGTCTCCAAAGACAGCACAGTGTAAAGCACTTGGCGGATACTTTACGATCACAGTAGTCTAATTATATAGTGATGAAGTTGTGAGTTGTCACTGGCATGTCCTTGTTCTAGGTAGCCCTCCCACCTGTGTCCCATAACTCTCAATTCAACAATAACCTAAGTTATCAGCATACTGGTGATGTCTCCTGGGAATTTCATTTAGAGGTTGACAAGTAGAAGAAGCAGGACTGAATTTTGGTACCATAAGGGATCATTCATCAGGCCAGTTTTTCCTCTGCTCCCCCTCTTTACTATTTATTTGACTTGGATCTAAGATTGAGGCATATGGATGAAGAGAGGGACCAATACCAAATTGATTGGTTCCTCTTTTTAATGGTTTGCCCGATATCTGCCACCATACCTGCCAATCTGTACTCACCCATATTCTCTTTTATTTCCATTCTGTTCTAGTTGGTATCTTCCTTATCCCCTTTTATTCGCTTGGTACTTTAGGGGCGCATGCATACGCGTGTGCATGTGCTTTTCATCATCCAACCCTTTTACTCAAGGGATCCACTATGGCCACTGAAATTGAGGAAGCTGCATCTAATCATCCATGTGTTAAAGCAAGAACAAGTTTATGTGGGAGGATAACAAAAAGTACATGGAACGTGACTACTTCTGTCCCTGTACATGATTCCAGAGCTCCATTAACTAAAGCAGGTTATTTAAGAATCAACTGCAAATGTGTCATTACTTTTGTAATGTTCCTTCTCTACACCATCATATTATAGCTTTGTCTTATGTGGCTGAGCCAAAAGTTATGCAAATTACAGTATTATAAATCTATTATGAGAAGAAATAATGAACCAAAGAGCTTTAGATGAGGATGAGGTGAAGAGTATTCATTTCTTGATTGAAACCTTGTTTGAATGTATGTCTTTAAGGAGTTTTAATTTTATTAGGGTGTTTATCTTTATTTCTATCTTGTATAGTTAATTTAATCATTACTTTTATCTTCTGACCTGAAACTGTAACTTGCTGTTACTCTTCTTTGGAATCAAATATTCACACATCAATTGTATTTTTTTCCCCTCTCTACAGACAATCGCTAAAATGTCCCCAACTTCTCTCAAGATAGCTTTCCGGCAACTTAAAGAGGGAGCTTCTTTGAACCTGCAAGATGTATTCACAATGGAATATAGATTGAGCCAAGCATGCATGGTAAGAGGTGTTGCATATTGGCACATTCTGAGCACTGTATAGTATATTTTATGTCAGTAAGTATGGCTTACGGGACTGCTGGTATTTCCTATGGTCCACTAAGGATACGAACAGGAATTCTGTTATCTGTTCCATTCTATTTTTGTACACTGTTGTCTGTGAACATATTAGACAAGGGGCAAACCCTTTAGCTAAAAGTAGACAAACTACTCTTATTTCATTATACCATAGTGTCAGATTTTGTTTCTTCTGTTTTACTGTTCCTAAATGGAAATTAGCTTCCCTTTTGTGCCTGACCTCCAAGATCTCAGTACATTACATTTTACACCATTGATTTTAAATGTTAGCATTTTATCTTTGCAGCGCAAGTTACAGAGCTTCGTGTTCTCTCACTGGCTCTATTCAACATTGTTTCATAGTAACTTTAGTAATGAGGATGATAGCCACGATGTGAAGGGTCCATACCAATCACACTTTAGTCACATCTATCTCCACATTTGAGATCCATTTGGCCAATTGGCGTTGGATGTTGCTACTCTCTTGTGGGCTGTGGGAAAAGTGACATTAAGCTTGAATGGTAGTACTTTCTCTACTACTGTATGAGAATTGGAGGATTTACCATATACAGTTCTCTTGCCTATGTTTTTCAGGAGTTTGTGTTCTTTCACTTAAGCTTTATTTTTTCTGCAGCTACAACTTTCTATGGCTTTGTGTAGGAGAAATCTCTTTTCTCACCCCTTCCCAAAAATGTACAAAAGAGCTTATAAAGATTAATTCAAGGTTTTAAACAACCTATATTGCCGTTGCCACTTCAGTGAAGTCCTTGTGATTTGTCAAGTGTTGATGAACAAACCTTTTGAGGGATTAACAACCATAAATTGGAAAGTGTCCTTGCTTCTGGTTATCTCATCAACATAACAAAGCAGATATATACTACAGGATGACCCCATTTTATGTATCTTTCATAAAGCTGTGTTCCATTCAAATAAGAATGCATGTGTTTGATTTTCCTGAAGTATTTTTGAGTTTCTGATTCAATCAAAACATTGCTATCCATTTTTCCCAGTTTCAGCAACCTCACTTGAAACTACATTATAACTCTGAAAGTTTGTAGAGCGTTAGCATTTTATATTGACTATACTTGGTTCTTTCAAGAGATTCAAAAGCTGTTGCTATGTTACAAGTAAAGAAAAAACTATTTTTTCCTTCCTCTGTCTCCCATTGGTTGATAGAGAATGTTCACCTTCTTGTTGTTGTGCCTTCAAGTCAGTTTTTGACTCCTGGTGACTGCCTGGACTAGTCCCTGCAGTTTTTTGGCAAGTCTTTTGGAAATGGTTTGCTGTTGCCTCCTTCTAAGGCCTGAGAGAGAGAGTGACTAGCCCAAGGTCACCAGGCTCTGTGGCTTTGTATCTAAGGCTGGCTTTCTGTCTAAGGCAGGACTAGAACTAGCAGTATCCTGGTTTTTAACCTGATACTTTAACCACTACACAAATTGGCTCATCTAGTTTACATATTAATACAACTTCCACTACTATACTCAATGAAGACTCATTCTGCAGGGGTGATGCAGTGTTCATCGTAGTCACTTCCTGATATCTGTCATATTGCCAGATGAACTTCTGGCGCTATCAACTGGAATGCACTCCAAGTGAGATAATTTCATTTGAAAGGTGCCCGTGCCATCAGTTCTCCACTGACTCGCCTATTCATCACCAGTAAGTGAGCTTTGCTATTCACTTACGCTCTGTACACGAAGCTCAGAAAGCACAGTGATAAAACACCCACGGCTTATTTTCAAGTAGTAATCTTTACGTCAAACAACCCTCCCACTGATCCTGTGCGAAATCTCACACTTCCATAGGGATCTCATGGCAGAAGCTCAAAAGACGTGAGCTACAGATGTTACCAGTTTGACAAATCAATATGCAAAAGTGGCCTTTAGATAAGATGTTTTTGCGGCTGGAATCCTTGATGTTCTCTGAGCTTGATTCTTTTGCTTGCAGACCTTTCATTACCCAACTAAGTAACATCTCAGAGAACATCAAGGACTCCCAATAGTTCAACCATGAGCTACAGATATTCCTTTCTATTGGAAGATATTTTTCTTGTGAAAAAGTGCTTTGGGTTCAACATTTAGAAAGAAAATTGTATTTCAAAGTATGCTAGGAAATTTGCCATAATGACTTCTTTTATCTTACAGCGAGGCCATGACTTCTACGAAGGCGTCCGAGCAGGTAAAATTTGAAGCCCCTGCCCAGTTCAAGTGAATTACAATGCGAATCTAGTGAGATTCTTCAGAAATGATTAGTTCAGACATGTTAGTGGCGACAGGAGCCGTTTAAGGCACGCTCTTTGGTCACAAAATTTCTCCAGGCTACTTTGCAAGATGTTATTGTCTGGCGACCTCTTTTCATTTGAGACAGTTTTAGTAATGTTAAATAACGATGATGGTAGAAAAATAATAATAAAATTAAAATTAAAATAATGTAATAAAAAATAAAATAGTAAAAATAATAATTACTAAAATAGTTATTCAGGACATCAAGCGTATTGCTGCCTATTTTGCTGGGTAGCCAAATGGGTAACAATATGCAAAATTAAGCTGGTCTAAGAAAAATAATATTGTGTTGTGGTTGTGCTAGTGTGTAAGATTGTTACAGGCATGTGGTTTTCCAATGCAAAATCTATAACAAAAGGTATGAAACAGAAGCATTATTTAGACCAGGGGTCCTCAAACGTGGCCACTTTAAGACTTGTGGGCTGGCTGGGGAATTCTGGGAGTTGAAGTCCACAAGTCTTAAAGTGGCCACATTTGAGGACCCCTGATTTAGACTGTCATATAACTGGTGAGCATAACCTCCATAGCCATGGAGAGGATTTTAGAAGGCTTCCAGGGTATGAGGAGTTTGAGTTCACTGAAACATCTCAGTGCATTATAGCTGGATAGAGGACAAGGAAAGCCTTCAATCCAAACATGGAGCCACTGGTGGTAAGGACATGCCGTATGGGGGAGGTATAAAGACTAACCCACCACTGAGATTTATTTTATATTGTCAGTGTTTAGCTTAAAAAAATCATTTATTGTTACTTGCTCTTTCTGACAGAAATTCACTAGATTAGGAATACAAATAATAAAATGCCTCCACTGGGATTGCACAAAACAAATTAAGTAAATAAAAGCTTTAATGTTGGATTCTCAGTCATTCTGTTTTCAGGATATGGGAATTAAGGTACTTTTCCATTCAAGAAATCAGTTCCATCTTCTATAGAAAATGAATAAATCATACATAATAAGTACTGATCTCTACAGTGGTTTATCTTTCATACATACTAAGAATAATATAAAATGATCTTTCTAATATAATTAAGAAAAGCATTACAACTGAAAACATTTTTTTCTCTACTAGTACTTATTGACAAAGACCAATCCCCCAAATGGAAACCAGCTGTTCTTGAAGAAGTAACAGATGAATTTTTGGACTCGTGCTTTAAGTCTCTTGGAAGTAATGACCTCCAATTATAATAAAGTTTTGCTAATGTAAAATAAAATCCTATATTACATAACCCAGTAAAATGTATGATGAATTTAATTCAATAAAATTATCTCATCATGTAAAAAAAGAATTGGAATTGATTGAGATGTTTTGAAGAGGACATAGGTTTTTCAGAGATAAAACGTAATTCTAGATATCAAGAGTTTGGTACCTATACATTTTTATTTTTTTGTGAAAACTGAATGTAAGCAGTGACACTCTGGATCAGAGGTGTCAAACTGCCAGCCCGCGGGCCGGACGCATCACACGGAAGCCACGCCTACCCCATTGCCAGCAATGGCAAAACTCCCGATACGTTGCACGACGTCACGTGAGGTCGCGAGTGTGACATGTCTGCTCTGGATCAACTAAAACAATTTATGTTATCAAGACAGTTAAATATGGCAACAATGAGCTGCAGTAATTCAGAGGAAACTTGAGCAGCAGTCCAAAATGAGTGTTGATACAATATATCTTAGTTCTCTTTTATATAAAATTGTATGGTATTTTTTTCTTGCAGACTGTAGGTACTCAGAAACTTCTGCAATTGCCCCCTGTAGTTCAGGTACAGCTATAAAAAAATATATCTGTTCTACCACTTCAACTTCACAGATAAAACTAGCATGTGAAACGATTCTCCTGCTACATGAAATCTGTGACCATGTGCATGTGGTAACGGGGGCAAGTAATGCTTCTTTAATCAAAGCTCCTCTCCAACATTTTGATACTATATTTTTCATCAGCTTAGGTTTTACATATTAGAGAAAGTGCATTTGTGTTAGATTAATCTAGAAGTAAAAAGGATATGTGTTAACTGTGGCAAGACAAACTGTCCCTAAAAAAGATAACAGTATAGCTACCGTAGCTAAAACAAAAGCTACATTGCTTTCAGTTGCCCTTCTAAGAGTAAAGATGATCTAAAATAACTCAAAACTTACTGATTCCTTTTTAAAGGAAATATAGTCTTCCCAAATACTTTCAGTACGTTCTGCTACTAGTCTTATTCAGGACTTCCAGAGATTTTTTCCCCTAGAATAAAATGGAAAAAACGGGTATAAAGCCAGAGCAAAACCACTTTCTGGCTATAAAACAGCATGGAGGACAAGGGCCTATGGGTCTCACAATGCCTGAATGAAATCTGAATGAATCTCCACATACAGAGTTATTTACATAGACCTATTAGCCTACTATGGCTGAAAAACATCTCATTTATATGTATTTAATTTGAGTTAGACCTCTTCCAACTCCAGATTGTCTATAATTTACATTATGAAAACAAAATAGCAAATAGTATAATCAAAAAATAGAAAATATACCATATTAAACAAGAGGGCAAATCGGATCAGCATAACAAAATATATTTTCTAGCCAGGATCCTGAAAAAAGAACCAGGTCTTTAAAGTCCTCTGGAATTCCATTACAGTGAGAGCCCCCCAGAGATCGGGGGGGGGAGCCTCATTCTCAAGGATAGGCACTGTAGCAGAGAAGGCACGCTTCCAAGGTCCTAGTAGCATTGCTTAATTGAAGGAACCTGGAGAGATAGGCCAACACCATAAGAAACAGGCAATCCCTCAAACAACCAGTATCTATACCAGGTAGACTTTTATAGGTCATACACAGCACCTTGAACTGTACCCAGAAGTAAAGTCAGTTCAATTCACTGTCCACACTGATTCTGGACCAGTTAAGCTTCCAAGAGGTCTTCGAGGACAACCATATATAAGACTTTTTGCAGTAATCTAGCTGTCAGATGATTAGAGTGACTGTGTGAACGGCTTCCCAGTCTAGGAAATAACACAACAGTACACAGGTGAAGCGATAGAAAGGGTCTTCCTGGCCAAAGTTGGAAACTATGAATCCACTCCCAGATTGCATATTATTCTTGAATTGGGAAATGCTACCCTGTCCAAATTTAAAGATGAAATATCTAGATTGTGACAGCACTTGGTCTTGGTAGAATTGAATTGGAGATAGTTCTTCCCAGTGAAATGCTTGAGCTGGTTCATTCCAGCTTGCAAGAACTAAATTTTTGGGAACTTAACACCACCATCCTGGTTCTGCCACAGGCCATTTATATAGGCCATCTACAAGTGTAATCAGGGCTATTTCTACTGAATCTCAGCCCAAAATCCAAATAAATGGGTTTAGATATTCTACTTCTAGGTTTTTTTAATCAAGGAAATCCTAGAAAGATAAAGAATTGTAATCAGGAAGGTGGATATTCAACTAGAAAGTGATTTTGCTTTAAATAACTGTAATGTGAAATACAGCTACAGCAAAACAAAAATTAACTTAATACTATATGTTAGAGATAGACGTGGACTCATGCTTATGACTAAAAAGTGCACATTTTGGGAACCAACAATCATTACTTGATGAAGGATGAAGATCTGCAAATATTTTGTAAGGAAAAACAGTACTATCCTGCTACTGTGCATGTAATCCCTTGAATATGGGTTATTGTACATACAACATATGCACATAGACCAGACAGGCCTGTATTCTTTCATTACAGGTTCCTATTCAAAAATTACATTTTATTACAATTTTAATATTCTTCTGTTCTGATTATTTTTTACAAAACCATAATCTATATTTTATTGGTTTTTTTAGGTAACTAGTGATTAGTCAATAAATTATATCACAACTGCATATAAATCTTTTCATGAATATCACCATTCTTCCACAAGTTTCCATGGCAATAAATGATGTAACAATATTGGAATTTAGATTTTTCTCAAAAAAAAAAAAAAACCAAATAGAAAAAACTGGGAAATCTTTGAAATGTGTTCAGTAACCATGAAGAAGTAACAAAGTACAATGACACAACAGAATATCATACAGCCGTAATAAATACCTGCCACCTTTCAAATCAAGATTTTAAGAAATAGAGGGGAATTCTTCTTAAACTCTGTGAGTAGAGGGGAAGTGTCATACATGTGCAATCCTCACCCAAAGATTGCTGTGAATGTTTCTATTGTTTGCTGGGATGTTCACCACCCATATCCATTTCTTCACATTGTTTAGAAAGCTGAACTCTTATTCTTTCTTCCTGAAGCAATTTTCATTTGGAAGGGGGTAAAAATGAAACAATTAGGTAAAAAGATAATTATCTTGTAAGCCTAATTTGCTACGCCTTGGTGTTTGCAGCAATTTCTCAGCTTCAAAGAAAAGGTGCCTTTTTTGGCTTAAGCACTAGGAAATGACTCATTAATCCAAACATTGTGTTGTACTCTTGAAAAAAATGAAAACAGAAATACAGACATTTTTCATTCTACTCAGACCATTCATATATTTCTTAGCATGGATGGTATTTTGTTTTCTACATTCCACCCAACAACCTATTTAAATGGTACTCTGAGAATTTTTAGTAGCACATTTAGCATTTTATTGACACTAAAACTAAATAAAATCTTATAATCTTCATTCCCAATTGGACATGGTTGTCTAAACATGCCAATTTTACTTCATAGTTGAGTAATTGTTATATGAATATATAAGAGCCCAAACTTTTTAGTACTCTCATGTACATTTGAGTTCCAGATAAATGCACAAAGTCATAAGGTTTTTTCCTTTATTCAAACATAACTTCAAGCAATTAACTAATTAGAAGGAAAATGCATATGTTAAAAACAGTGGTAGTTTCGTTCCTTAAACCATTACTTAAATGATAGTCAAACTGCAAATAATTATTTTAAAAATAGCTACTGTGGTTTAACGAATAAGGGACAGAATGGATTTAGCCTACTTAAACTATGTAAAGAGATCCAAATTTTGGAGATCCTTTGGAAGCTGCTGGCTCATCTCTTCAAGAACAGAAAGAGGGAAACGAAGAGATTAATGGCAAACCAGTCTGCCTCGTGTAAAATAGCTCAGTTAGCATCTTTATTATTTGTCTAGTTAGTAATTTTTTTTTAAAGTATCTTGTTAATTTGGTAGGGACAGATCATCATGGATAAAATCTATTTATGTGATTGCTAAGAGTCAACAATGACCTTATGGCATAATCATAATCAGACCATTTGTGATGATACATTTATATAACACTTACTATAGTGTAGATTTTACAAAATATAATATGAAATCAGTCTGACATTCACTGAATAATTGTGTTTGGACTTTGCCCACTAATGAAATATTATGTAGAATATATATGTATGTACATTTATTAGAACTGAAAGGGTTCTGGCTCTAAGGGTCAAATTACTTTCTACTACTTGCCAGAATAATTATCAATTTGGCATGTGCTTATCAAATATTGTTGAAAAAAAGAATTGCTACAAAATATTCTGCTCAACTACACCACAAAGTATCTGAAATAAATAATTTTAAACCATTAGGGGTGAGATTTTTGCTAAAATGAATTATACCCAAACAAAATGATAACTTTCTCCTTAATATAAAAGTGGCTTTCTCCTTTCAATTCTGTACTGAAAATATACTCTGTTATTCTAAGAATGGTGTATTTAAGAGAAATTCATTTACAGTTTAGTTTAAGAACAGCAGTTCTCGGCTACTACTGTATTATGATTTCCTTTTTAACAGTTAATTATGTTGCCTGAATAACCAAGAGGACAAAGGCTGTGCTTTTTTTGAATTTAATACTAAATTAATATATTACTCCCACATTTTCAGTAGTCACCTTTCTCCATATATACAAGCTGCTACACTTGTTCTATATGCACTTTTGCTTTCAATCTGTCTACGCTCCCTACTGTCCCCTTGATAATTGATAATCAAGAGAAATAATCCCTTCCTCCAGTGTTTTTAGTACACTTTATTACACTTTCATAAAGACTTTGCTAGTAACTTGCAAAGTCATTGTAATTTCAATTATTTTTTCTTCCAACTATTAGACATAACGTTTTTTGTATGTTCTTTGATAAAACCTACATGTGCAGGTCTTTGGATTGAGTTTAGTATGCTCAGCCAAGTAAAACTGTAAAATAACTAGTCTCACTTCAGCAAGATGCGAGATGCTTTTGGAAAAAAACCTTTTGATAGTCACGTAACGCCCTGATATGGTTCACACTCATGCTAAGTAGCTAAATCCCCTTTATGTAAACAGGGAAATTAAGTACCATTATT